GCATGTCATTTCATCAAAGTGTAAACAACTTTGTTTCTCATAGCCTTAAACATGTCGGATTTTGTACCAAAGAAAGTGTATTTGCAGGGAATTTGACTGCAGTACTTTATTCAAAAGAAATCTGCAGCTGAAGCACACAGAATTCTTGAGACTTAAGTCAACCATGCTCTGTTGGAAACATGTATAAATTGGTTTAGATGCTTCAAAAATAATGTTTTTGATGCTGAAGATAAAGAATGCTCTGGCAAACCAAAAAAGTTTGAAGACAAAGAATTGGCAGCATTACTTCATAAAGACTCGTGCCAGGCACAAGCTGAACTTGCAAAATCAATTAGGAGTTGATCACACAACAGTTTTGAAAATATTTGAAAGCATTAGGAATGATTCAAAAGCAAGGTCATTGGGTGCCATACAAGATGAAGCCGAGAGATGTCAAACAATATCTTGTCACATGTGAACAGCTACTTCAACGGCAGAAAAAAAAAGTTTTTTTGCATCGTCTCATGACTAGTGATGAAAAGAGGATACACTATGATAACCCTAAGATCATTGGGCAAGCCTGGCCATGAATCAACATTGGCAGCAAAGCCAAATATCCATTGTTCAAAGCTTCTGCTCTGCATTTGGTGAGATCAGCTGAGTGTAGTTTATTATGAGCTGCTCAAACTGACCAAAATCATCACAGGAGAGCGCTATCAACTACAATCGAGCTGAACATTGAAGAAAAAATGACCGCCATACAAGCAGAGACCTGACAAAGTGATTTTGCAACATGACAACGCGAAGCCACATGTTGGAAAACAGGTGAAAACCTACTTGGAAATGCTTAACTGAAAAGTGCTACCACACCCTCCGTATTCACCAGACATTTCCCCATCTGATTATCACTTGTTCCAATCAATGGCACATGGTCTGACTGAGCAGCATTTTCATTCTTATGAAGATGCCAAAAAATTGGTCAACTCGTGATTAGTCTCAAAAGACATGTCGTTTTCCAAATGCTGCCAGGAAGATGGGAAAAAGTAGTGACTAGCGATGGACAATACTTTCAGTGTCATATTTCTTACTAATTTTTGTAAATAAAACATTACTTTCCATGAAAAATCAGCAAGAACTTATTCAAAGTCCTAAAATATATATATATATATATATATATATATATATATATATAGTTAAATTGCCAAATCAATTCTGTGGACATGACAAATTGGTATAAGATGACAATTGGAAAAAAATCTTAGTTTTTTGCCAACAAATTTTGTCTCTCAGCTTTTTCAAGGCAAAAATGAAATCGAAATGTTTTTGTTGTTATAGTTACATTAAAAAATCCAAATTAAAAAAAAGATAGACACTTCTGCATAAGACTCTTTCTGATTATTGTTAATTTCCTTTATATCAAGAGTTTTTTTTTTCTTTGCATGTCAACAATATAGTTAAATTACCTAGTTCAATTCTGTGGACAAAACAAATTGGTATGACAACTTTAAATTTTGGATATTTTTTAATGTAATTATAACAACAAAAACATTTTGATTTCATTTTTGTTTTGAAAAAGTTGGAAGACAAAACCTATCAGCAAAAAACTAAGATTTTTTTCCTATCGTCATCTTATATATATATATATATATATATATATATGTGTGTGTGTTTTAAGGTATGCTATATTTATGGGGGAAAATGCTCAATGTCAGGGATAGAGCATATGTAAATATAAAAGTGAACACATTTTATTAACATTGAATGGAGACAGTTTCATACTTCAACACAATCTTCAGGCCTAAAACAGACTGTCACTACTCAGTGTTGACTGCTATCCACTTATATATATATATATATATATATATTTCTTATTACTTTAAACATTATAATTTTATATTTAGTGGATAGACTTGTTTGAGTAGACATCTGTTTTTTTTTCTTTTTGTTAAACAGTATAAGTCTGTGTCTATTAATAGATATAGATTTATAGAGTTTAAAAGAAAAATGCATGTCTATTCAAACTTGTTTATCCACTCAATATAACTTAATAAAAAATAATGTTGGATTATAAATAAAATCCATTAATCCCTAGAAGAAAAAAAATTCTCTCTCTATATATATATATATATATATATATATATATATATATATATATAATCAATTTCAGTGACTTTTTCTTCTCTCTCAACAATATCCATAAAAATTGAAAAAGAACAATCCTATATCTTTATTACACTGCTTAATATTTCTTTGATTATCTCAAATTCAAATGTTAATATTTTCTCTTACCTAAAGTGTAGCCTTCACCTAATGTTTGAAAAAAATTTCTTTTGAAGAATTTTCTATATAATCATTGCAAAAAGGCCTTATAAGGCTCACACCATATTATTTCTTTCTTTTGTTTGATTTGTAATTTATGATGCTTTCAAATCTCTTGGGATTATTATTTATTCTTGTTTTCTCAAAAACAAAATAATCTTCTGACCATTCCTTATGTTCCAGGAATTATGGCTACTAGTCACTCATAATCTACAATCTCCAGGGTGAAGTTTCTCATATTTATGACTTTTCATTCATTTTCAGTTCAATAGTTGATCCAAAGCAACCAGTTATTTTTCATTTCTTTTTATTATCATTTATGATTCTAACTCTGATTTAGCAATAGATTCTCGATAATTTCAGAAAAGAATTTTTTTTTCTTTTTTTCATCATTTCACCCCAGTCAAGGTGATAAAGCTCACTAAGATGCAAGGGGATACTGGGATTGAAAGAAACAGAGGGAGCAATAAAAAATCAGGATTCAAGGAGACAGAACATAATGATTGACATTTCTTTTAATTTTTTTAAGATTGTAGTTGGCAGGAAAGCAAGACACCAGAAGAGTTTCATAAGAAATGCAGAAGAAACTATTAGCATAGAACTTACAGTTACAACTAGAAATTTTAATAGTGCAATTGGTCAACCTAGCCACTGATCTGCATTTAAATTCATGAAGTAAGGTACCTAAGCAGGAAGATCATCATAACAAATTACAATGAAAATACAAATAATTAAATCTAACAAATGGTCCACCTCTTTAGATACCTTTAGTATTTTTTTTTTAAATATTTTGATAAAAATTTAATTTTAGACTTGCAACTAAATGATGTTCACCTTGTACAACGCCCAGTAGCCACTCGCATTAGTGTAAGACCCCCCCTAAAACATGGAGATAATTCCACCAGAATACAGGGGGGGAGGGGGGAAAGTGAAAGAGAAGGAAAAGGCTTTAGAAAGAACTGGAAACCCAATCCTAAACAGAAAACAGGGGATAAGCATCTATTCTTGTTCAAAAGACTGGGGAGGAATGTGAACTGGACAATAGACAAACCTATCTGCTCCTATTGAATTCACAATATAGAGAAAGTTAAGCAAGTCCTTTTCCATTTAAACTATGCACACACACATGCACATAACAATGAATAGCAACAGATTCATATTTTTTCCAGAAAATACCAATAAGATAGCTTTGAGTACTTCAAAAAGTAAATACAAAAAATTAATATTCTTTATAATTTTTCTTTTTGTTTTATAACAAGCAACAGAAGGACAGTAGTTTGCTATAGGTTAATATAGATATTAAATGCTATCATTATATTTTTTATCTTTTGTTTAAAGATTAGTATTGTTCTTGTATGCATGGATTACTGATGCATTCAAATTGAAGAAATAATACAAGTTAATCCTTAAAAAATTAATATAAACAAAATACAATAAGAAATGTGATGTTTTATAGAGAAACTGATAAAAGTATAACAAGAAAAATAGATATTGTGTTATATTTCTCTGATGCAATAAGAATACTGCTTAACATGCATTAACAGTGATAAAGGATTTTGAATACAAAATTATTTGGATTTGATAATGTTTTATTTTTTTAAATTCTCAGTATAACAATAAAAATGGTATTTCTGTCCTGGGCGGTTATGTACCCACATTTTGTGTCATGTGTTTTTCCAGACTGAATTTAGTTTCAAATTTTATCAGTTTTAAGGTAGCTAGAATTTAAATTGAATTTATGAGCTATCTATGCCAGTTAACATTTATAAATTATATACAGTGTAACCCGGATATAAGAGAGATTTTCTCTGGTCCCAAATTAGAGCCTGTGTTAATGTATATAAAATAGACCAAACCCGGATATAAGAGATTTCTTCTCCAGTCCCGACAACTCTCATATCCGGGTTACACTGTATTCTGGTAGGATTATGTTCCACCTGTATGTTAGAGGGTTTTTTATTCATGAATAATGGTTTGGGGCATTTCTACAGAAATTTTATAAAATTGCCATAAATGCAATATAAGAATGCATTACCATCTGCAATACACATGGTCAACTGACAATGTTTTCAAAATGCAAATCATCATTAGGACTGAATCTATTTCCTTCATTCCAAACACATTAGTTAAGTATGGTCTGCAAGCTCTCCTCAGCCTTGATAATGAGTTGTGATAGCATAAAAAATTTTATCCTCTGACAAGGAAACGTCACAATATAAATCACTTATTTGGAGTCACATTACATAGAAGTCAGAATATTGTTCAGGTTGATTCATTAGCATATACCGTCTATAGTTATTTGGAATTATTAGTCAGTTATAAAAAAATACACATATTTGGTCCAGTCTATCTGGAAAGAGTTGAGTCAAAATAAAATTTCTTTCTTTCAAGAAATTGATCCTAAGATTCCTTACATCCCAAGATACAATTACTTGAGGAAAATACTTAATGAAGAAATCTAGATTAATTGATTTGTTTTTTATGGCTTATCAATTTTTTGTAGGTTATTTAAAGCCAGAGGAGGCACAGTAAAGTAATGGGTCATGACTCAGAGTTCAAATTCCAGTTGAGTTCATTGCATTCACTTACATTCTAATACCATATTTGCGAGTAAGTGAATAATTAAACTAACTGGAATTCAAACTCACTTCTCTGATTAACAATTCTGAGCCATTATCCATTGTATCACCCACACAATGAAGCTTACAGCACCTAGTATTCCCAAGTGGTTACCCATCTAGGTACTGACTAAACTCAGTGTTGCTTAACTTCAGTGATCAGATGAGAACCGGTGTCTCAACATGATATGGCTATAAGCCAAAGGAATCAAGAAGTAGTTTAATCTCTGAAGCATTAACCAATTTATATTTTGGAGATTTCTTTTTTAATTGAAGCATTTCACTCCCAACAAGGTTATAATGCCACTAGGACACAAGAGGACAATGGGTGTAAAAGAATATTAAGACTAAAGAAAAAGGAACCAGAAACCCAATTCTAAACAGGAAACAAGAGATAAACCTCTACTCCTGTTTAGAAGACAAGGAAGGAGTGTAAATTGGGTGATAGGCAAATCTATCATTGTTCTTTCTTTAATAGTTTCAAGTATCGTTGTTGATGTAATGGCATAACCTGTCACCCCCATGAGTAATTATACTATAGGTAGTAACTACCTATAAGTAGCTGTAAGTCAACAAACGAGAGAGACTAGCTGGGATCTGTTGAGTACAACTCAGACTTACACAAGAACTGCCAAACTTCCAATAGTAGCACTCACTACGGGATTGACTTGCAATGATCGTGCGCATAACTGTTACCTTATTTCTTATTGTACTGGTTTTTTACAATAAACCTTTACTTATTTTATCCACCATGTTTGTCAAGTATATATTCCTATTAGCATGGAATATAATGGTTGTTTTCCATTCATGCCAAGTAATATTTCTTTGTTTTTAGAGTTGAATTCAGAATAATAATCAGTTTTACTTCAATAATATTTTGTAAATGCTCAACTTAGAAATTATGAGTTAAGCAACTGTCTATGCCTTTCAATATCTCTTTTCAATGCCAATATAATATTTAATATATTTTTTTATTACTGAAAACCTGTATTAGAACATTAAATAGCATGGTGAGAACTGTGTGCCAGCCAAACGCTTTCCATCTGAATTGTTTCTAAAATATCTTTGGAAGAGCATTTGCAATACTTCACTAGTTACAATTATAATCACACAAGGTATTTTTTTCTTTGTTGGATGACCAATGAATGATGCTATCTATTAAGGTTGATTTGGTTTAACTATTATCTTTAACATTTTAAGCATTTTTTTAACAATACTATATCATATAATTAGGATTATTTTAACAAGTTTATTTGTACAGTACCTTTAAACAGAGAAACCTTAAATTATCTGTATATCTATGTATTTATCTGTATCTATATATTTAGAGTTTGTTGATAAAATCCAAAGAATCTGCAATATTATCAGTCCTGACATGGCATGTTGGCTTCAGTCACTTGTCTACTACCATAACATAGCTTTCCTGTGCCTTTTCTATAAATATTTTCATGGTAATTGTTCTAATAAACATTCCTCTATGGCATTGGGGTTGTATTTTTACTCAAAATACATATTATTTTCCTTTATGGTTATTAATGATATAAGCACAGTTTCAAAGTTGATATTTTTAAATAAAAGCAAATGATTGATAACTCTTTAAGAAGTTGGGGATTAATTCAAAACTATTTATATTATGAACATTTTTCCACTTCCAAAATGATTTAAAAAAAAAAAAAAAAAAAATCAATATTTTTTTAAAATTCTGACTAATATTGTGGGTAGAAGAAAGTCTAATTGTTGGATTGATTTGTTTTTATGGTTTATCAACATTTGCAGGTTATTTAAAGCCAGGAAATGTTTTTAGATAGTAAGAATTTTTTTACTGATACAAGTTTTACTAATTACCCCACAGCTGGGGGAGTAAGAGTTGTATTCATACATTTCCCAAGAGGATTTGCACATAGCGAATACAATAAACATTAGGACTTGGTTCACAGTTATGTGCCATACGTGATACATACTTAGGCGATCATATATCTTTCCATACATGACTCACAAGGCAGATTTTTTTCCCTGCAGTAGTTTAGCATTTCTTTCTGTGGTAGACCAGTTACCATCCAAGGCTATAGAGCCCAGTCTGTCCTGCTATTTACCCATAGCTGGGGAGAGAAGACGATTCATACCTTTCCCAAAAGTATTTGCATATAAGTAAATGTAATGGATTTGACTGGAATTCAAATTCGGCTCTCTGATTCCTCAATCCGAGTTGCTATGCATTACTCCACTGTGCCTCCTTGAAGAACTTGGCTTTACGATTTCCAATTGTGAGCTGTTATCCATTATAACACCTGCATATCTAAGCTTACAGAACCAGATATTCCCAAGCAGTCACCCATCTAGGATCAACTTTGGTGATCATACATGAACTTCATGGAGATATATATCTCCATGAAGTATTTTTATGGTTATGCATATATTTTCTTAACTAGGATTATTATTAAATGTTTTTGTAAGGGTATATTAATGCCATTCAATATAATCCTCAAACAACAGGGCTTATGTCCATATCATGTTAAAACACAGATTCTTTTATGATCACCATATTGGCACATGGTTGAGTGGTTAGATCATTTGATTTCTGACCATGAAGTTGATCTCAGCATATGTCAGTGCCTAGGAGGAAAAAAAAACTTTAGGTTGATCCAAGCCTTGTAAGTTAAATTGGATAGAAAGAACTGTTTGGAAGCCATTGTTGGTTGTATTAGTTTGACGTTACAAGTCAGGGTTTGAGTGTATTTATGCTGTTCAACTGTTGATCGCACCAGATTTTTTGCTATCACCCAAAATCTCAGGTCTACTCAGTATAGACGTCTGCAAAAGGGATTATGTAGCCATCCTAGCAGATAGGTGTAACCAGCCAACTTAAAGACTGCTACACTTACTTAAAGTAACTTTGACAGAAAATTATTGAGAGTGCCATTATTGAATTTTACCAAAATATAAGTGTTGTGCCCAGGACATGACTATAATTTCTTTTTTTAAATTAAAAGAAAGTGGTTAAATTCAAAATTTATATAAATTATATAATACATAAATTAATATCAAACTAAAATATTGTAAATAATAATCACATTATAAAAAAAAAAAAAAAAAAAATTCCATAGCAATATTTACTTACTTTCATTTGTTTGACATTAAATTATATATATATATATATATATATATGATAAAAGGAAAAGTTTTACTCAACACGGCTTGTTCTTTGATGAACTTTATCAATTTATCAAAGCATATGTAAGGATTTTATTCTGCAACATCTATTTATAAACAGAAGTAAATATTTTTTTTTTTTTTTTTTCAGAATTTTTAAATTTAAAAACACTTATAACTAGAACTGAATGTCAAAATAAATGAGGATGCTAACTGATGTAGTAAGTTAAACATTGAATTACACATTGAAAAACTTAGGGAGAAAACTTAGAAAAAAATACTTTTTCCTTTCAGTACATGGATATGTGGGTGGTATAATGGATAGCAACTTGGATTGAGGAATCAGATTTAAGTTTGAACTCCAGTTGGCTTCATTACATTCACTTGCAAATACTTTTGGTAAAGGTATGATTCCATCTCCCCTCGCCAGCTATGGGTTAAATAGTAGGACCTGCATCTGAAAAGATAATTGTTGTTCTCCAAAAATTGTTAATGCAATATTCCCTTGCAAAAAAAAAAAAGCATTTATTCTTACTAACAAAAATGTTTTGGCTTTAAATAACCCACAAATTGTTGATAAGCTGTAAAAAAAAAAATCAATCAGTTGTTGTTTTTTTCAGTACTGATTATACACCTGAAGTAAGCAGTAAAATGGATCATTGTGTTCACAATATTGACATTACAAACAAGAAACTCATTTGTCCAAATAAAACTTGGAATTTTAAACAATAAAAAAACAAATATAATTAAATTCAGAAAACATGTCAATCCTTGATTTATTATCTTCAGCTGCCTTCACAAGAATTTTTTCTTCAAAATTAACTCAAATTAATCATTATTAGGAATATTTTGACTGTGAAAACAAGATTGGGCATAAATTGTTGGAATGAACATTTCCGATCATAACTTGATAATATTCAGAGTGAGCAAAGTATAATATTTAACTGCTTATTGGTTCTTTTCCTGTTCAGCTGTCTTAATAGTACTTCTTACTAATATGCGTTTTTTATTGGTTTATGTAGTCATGTGTAATTTTTAGATAAACTGGAATACTTCTCAGTTCATAGAATATAATGTTCATTTTTTTACTTTCATATAACATATCTATCCTGATATGCAAAAAATGTAATTATATATATATATATATATATATATATATATAATTATTTTACCAAAAATATGAAAATTACAGGATACTTGTTGACGATTGATTCCATTTCACTGTGTCTTGCTTGCCAGGAACTAGATATCTGAATTCTGACAAGTGAGGAATAGCAAAACTCTGAGTTGATCTTCGATAAGTTTACTGAAATTTTTATGTTTTTGATACAATAATTATTGCTGTAGATATGAGTATTTTATGAAAAAAATTCTGTTCACATGCTTTAAATTCTATAATTATACTTATATCAATAGGTGTTATTATTACTATTTTTATAATAATATCACCTATTGATATAGTAATAATAATACCTATTGATATTATTACTATTTTCATTATTTTATATATATGTGAAGGTGATGTAAATTTCCTACTAACACGTGTGTATATGTGTGCATGCGCAACACACACACACACACACACACGTTAGTAGGATGTAGAATAGTATCCATACAAAAGTGGAGAAAGGAGACACATGCATACGTGCGCGCGCACACACATATATATATATATATATATATATATATATATATTTTCAAAATTATCATCTCTACATAATATTGTTGTCTTGTGACTATTGTACTGGAAAGCAGGTGTAAATCTGGCAAGTGCATGTAAGATGATGGGCAGGCAAGCAAGCAAGCCTACATCTATCTATCTTTCCACTTATCCATCCACCTACTCCTCTTATTACCTTTTACCCTATCTCCCAACTTCTTTGGAGCATAACTGCAGCGGAGTTTGGTGCTAGTGATGCATGGGGTAGTCAGTCAGTCAGTCAGACAGTTGTTGCTACGGTAACATGTGAGCTGCTGCTTTTCTTTTTTTTTTTTTTTTTTTCAAGCGAACCCATTGTTCTTTCACTTTTCAGTCACTGCATGCAGCAAATTTTAGAGAGTGTTAATTATTGCCATCACCATGGTATTGTGCACAGAGACCTGAAGGTGAGTAACCCCCGCCTTCTTATAGTCTTAACCAAATCTTTCTCTTACAAACCTACCTACATACCTACCCACCTACCTCCTTACAGTCAGTCATTACCATTTACTTAATATCATCCTTGGATAGAGTCAATCGGATCCAGTTTTCTCTCTTTTGGACTATCTTTGTTGGAACTTATAATTCAATTTTAGTTTTAAGAATTCCTAAACAAATAAAATTCTCATTTTGATATTATTTAGCTTTAAGCTTACGATGGCAAAACTTTGCAATATTTTTCAAATATTGCAAATGTTTTCTATTGAAAGAATCAGTCAGTATAGTAATTTATAATTCTTAATAAGTATTTGCTTTTCTAACATTTTATATCTAAAAAGGAAAATGCCCTTATTCTTGGTACAAGTCCATAAATATATGACTTGATAACAATTATCCGATTTACTCACTACTTTTAACTCCTACTAGTTGATTATACTCTTGCTCCTAGAATAGGCTTATTTAATATTCTTGTAGTATTATGTGGCTCCTACTCAAAATCCAATATTATTTTATCTGTGTATACATATGTGTGTACACATGTGCAGTGTCTCTAATATTTAGAAAATAGTTGGATTCAGTTTTAAGAAAATGAGTTTGTACAAGAGACTTGTCTCTAAATGCAAATCAATAGATTTGCTTTTAAAATTACTATTATTTAGTTAAACCAAATATTGTAACATTGATTTCCTGTAGTAGCCACTATTTCCTTAGTCTGAATTTCTTTTAAAGAAAAAAAATAGAAATGATAATTCCATATCTGTTTTTCCTTTTGTTCATATTTTCTGAGAGCTGCCAAAACAACTCCAGAGCAATATATATTTTTTGTCGTTAATTTTTTTTGTTGTTTTTAATCTTTATATTTTGATATTTTTAATACTTTCTATACTGTTTTCAATATCTTTGAACCCAAACATAAAATCTTCATTCTTGGAGTTACTGGATCCTGTAGGTCTGCAAGAGACATACCGTTCAACAAACAATAAATCGGTGGTTTCTAAAATGGATGGTATTTCTCTCATTTGGTTTCTGGAATTGCTCCAGTGTTGGAATTAGACAGTTATATCAGAAAAGTAACCTTGGACAGCAGAAACCTCAGTAGTGACATGCTTACAGAATGGTTATGTCAGTAAATTCTTCATTTTTGTATTCCTGTTTTTTTTTCTTTATTTGTCTTTAGATTATTGCCATGGGAAAGTAAACTTTAAAAATGAGATGACTAGTTATTTTATTGAAAATTGAACTGAATCAAAATTTGCAATGCCATATCAAAGAAATTTGAATGCCTTTAAGATTTTGGAAATCTTCTCTCATAAGAGCAACCTATTAGTTTTGCCAATTAAAATATACTTAATGCAATACTGTGACAGGTTGTACCTTACCAATAACATGCATAACTTAGCTATCACTGCAGACACAATTACCAATGATGCAGCTCCTACATCATCTAGAAAATGCTGCTAACAATGTTGGGCTCTATGTCAATGCCTCTAAAACTGAATTCATAAGCTTCAACCAGCAAGGCTCAATACAAACTGTCTCAGGTGAATGAATAAAATCTGCTGAATCTTTTACATACCTAGGAATTGAAAGACATTATACTGAAAAGGGTGTGAAAATTTGCATAGCTAAAACCTGGGCTGCCTTAAATAAAATGAATGTGATCTGGAAATCTGATCTCCAGACAACATCAAGCAGAGCTTCTTTTGTGCCACTGTAGAATTGGTTTTAATGTATTGTGCTGCTGCTTGGACATTAACTAAAACCTTAGAATCTAAACTTGATGGAACCTTTACCTGAGAGCTATACTTAACATCTCTTGGAGACCAACTAAATCACAGCTCTGTGTCCCTGTCCCTGATATTTCTGCAGTCTTATGTGAATGTAGAATGTGCTTTGCAGGACAATGCTGGGGAGCAAAACAAGAACTTGCAAATGGTCTACTGTTCTGAATACCTAGCCATAGTGCAAGACTGGTTGGTTGCTCAACAACCACCTACATTAACCACTTATGTTATGACACAGGATGCCACCCAAATACCTTCCAACCTTGATGCAGGACCATAATGTTTGATGTGATAAACTCATGAATGTGATTAATTTAAATATATTTAATTTTTATTATGATTATTTTTGTTATACTGGAACACACCTATTCTATAGTTAATAGACTCTCCCACCTATAATAAGTAGGAGTAGTAGTAGTAGTCGTTCAGGAAGTTGGTCAGTCAGTCGATGTAGGACGACCGTTAGTCGGATATTTAAGTATCAGCCACCACAACTAGATTTGCTGCGTCATTACCTATTATATCAGGTTCCTAACATTTTGTACGTCAAACCTATTTTAGGACCGACTTAGTGAAATACAAGCCTCCACTGTGAAACTACTCTATAACAACTTGGCGACGAGGGATTCAACTCATACGGAGGAAGAAAAACTTTTCGTACTCTACAACAATTTTATTCATGGTTTTTTGATGCTGAATAAAGCTTTATAGTTGGAGACATTCTGGTTTATAAGAATAATATTCTTATGAACATATCCCAGAGTGGGAAGCCAAAATCTTTTTGGAAACCACTGTTATTTTTCAAATTCATTCGTCAAATTGCATGTCTAAGTCTTTCCTCAAGGCAGCTCTTGGACTTCTTTCTGAAATATCTAACTTGATTCAATATGTTTTTTTTTCAATATGTATGTAATTTTGCTTTTTGTATGCATATGTCTATAAATGTATTTATATAGATATATGTCAACATATAAACTCTAGCTTCAGACAACCAGCAACAGTTGATTTGGATTTTATATGAATGATGTATTTTTTTATTTAAAGTTTTATATTCTTTTTTTTTTTTTATTGTGTATATATACTTTTGTAGCTCAATTCCTACCTTTTGCAAGTCTGTCTGTCTTATTTGCATCCATTTTATGGTAAATTTATGTTTTAAAGTTAATTAAAATTGCAGCTGATGAAAAGAGGATGATTTTTACCTGATGAAGGCCAGAGGGCACAATGGCTGAAACATTGTAATACCAACAACAAAGATGATGTCAATAGTCCAAATGTAAATAATGTAAATAATTATTTTACAAGCTGAGAAAATCAACATTCTCATTGAAATAATAAATATCAAGAAATCGTAGTAAACGTTTTATTAATAATTTCATCCCAGGCAAAGTTATAATGCCACTGAGACGCAGGGTGTGAAAGAAAATGAAAAGACTTTAGGAGATAAAACTGGAAACCCAATCCTAAACTGGAAATGAGGGATAAACTTTTAATCCTTTTCAAGAGATAGGAAGGAGGGTGAACCAGGCAATAGGCAAATCTACCTACTCCTATTACTATCATTGCTTTCTTTAATGCCAATTCTTCCCAAATGGTACGGTGCACCTCATAAGTGCAGTGGAAGGGGATAGATGGTGAGATGGAATGATTGAAAGGCAATCAAAGATTTGGAAACAGTTTTAAAAAATTAATTTACCAAAAATATGATTTTAAAATTTAAAATATTATGGATTACTTGTAATTGCATGCATGAGTCGCAGTATAAATAGTTAAATAATTATTGACCAATTTTTTTCACTGTGATATGTTTGCATTATATCAAGTATAAAGAATATAGTAACTAGGGTGTGCAAATTAGAGGAGAGAGTTATCAATGATAATGTTCTGACTTCAAATCCATGGTTATCTTTCTTTAATCCTCTCTGTGTTTTTTATTTTTAAATGTACTTTTTATCACATAAAATCTGGTGAGGCACAAGTAAATTTTAATTCTGAAAATGCTGCCCAGAGAAAAAAAGTTTGGGAACCACTGCTCTATACCATTAGTATCATTTTGTTTCATAATATAATCATTAGAATGAATAAAAGTTCTTATTAAATGGCATCAAAAGCATTTTTAATTTTAAAAGAATTGATGAGGCAAAAATATTATGAAACAAATTTAAAAAAAAAAAAAAAAAGGTTTAAATGAAATAATTTGTGCCTAGTATTTCTCTTAATGCATATCCTCTTGGCATCAGTTTAAACTGCTACCTTCTTTTTCCATATACTGTAAGCATTTTTCTTAAAGTTTGAATTTTCTTGATTTCAAATGAAAACTGAAAATTTCCAAGATATATCAGTGAAATTTGCACTTTCCAGAATATTAGTTTATAATTATAGTTTGACTATATAGGGGAAAAGGTGTCAGTTTAAACTGATACCAGGAGAATATCTGTCTATATTTCTTAAAGACAGTGGATAAAGGCGTTGGTTAGATCCAGTGACAGGACCCAAAGAGTTGTGAATTCAATACCTGGTTAAGGCAGTGGAGAACTTGAAGAGGTGAATTAACAGGAGATAGCTGATAACTGACATCTATTAGACATGGCACGTGGAACTAGAACAGTCTATGCTAGTGAGTGAAATAAAGGAATCAGTTCGACATTCCAACCACCTGAAGAAGGCCAGAGCATACAATGGCCGAAACATTGTGATAGATATGACAACAAAGACGAGGACAATAGTCTGAATAATGTAAATAGCTGACCAAGAAAGTAAGTGTTAAATGTATATCAGAGAATAAATTTATTTATTTAGTAGACTATAATGCTTTTTAAAGTATTTTCAATCTGAGCTATAAGTAGTAATGCAATCTTAGGTCATTAATTTTTTAGTAGTTTTGCTTTCATATAATTTTTGTTACTATTTAGTATAAAATGTTTGTTTGTACATTCTGTGACCATTAAATAATCATTATGGCTCAGAAATAAGAAGAAAAAAAATGTAATGCCTGATGAGATCTCAACATGCATCCCATATCAATAAGAACTTGAAGGAACCTGAACCAAAAATAATGAAGTAGCTATCATCAAGGTTTGAAATTGCATCCTATGTCCTTGGGAGCCTGTTAACAGATACAGCATGTAAAAGTGACACAAGTGTTGAAATAAAAAGCACAGAAAATAAGATAGAAAAAAAAA